ATCAAACTTCAAATTAAAATTTGAGAGCTATCCAAAATTACCCGGAGAATATAATTTTCCTATCTACTTGTTTTCCTGAAACGTAGTTCGTGAACTTATTAAAGCGAAATAACTTGGAAACTGTTGACGCCTATTGATTTTAGAGACACTATGGTGCTCGTGGAAGGTTAATTAGTTTTATATTCTCAGTTTTATCAAATAGTTTTGCGCACTATCTTTGGTAATTATATGTCATCGCGGAAAATAGAGCGCTGCTGCAACTGTAATCATCGCGCTTCCGCCATCACCGTGTAATCACGTTCGCGATGCACCGGAAAGTAAAACGACCTTCGCGTCTCACAGATTTAGACTAACAGCGACGAAAAAAAGTCCTCGAATTAATTGAACTGAGAAAAAGAGTTGAGAGAAATTTGGCAAGAAAGTACGTATATATTGATGGAAGACAAAAAATTTGGCAGAAAGACGAACAGTTTAAAAAGTGAAAGTTAAAAAAAAAAATGAATTATTGTTTGATCTACTTCGCCAATAATTCAATATTTCATTATCATTAATAATGAAGTGAGAATCATATGATGCATTCCACGTGTGACAGTGATGAGAGTGGGATCGAATAGATGCAACAACAGCCTTTGTACGTGTTCTCTACAGCGCGATTATAACGAAACGTAATTCCACCGTTTCCACGAAGGCGCCATGGAACATCGCGCACCTGTACCAACAACACTTGTATGTGTGTACACGCAAATAGATATACAAGCGCGCGTCGAGATTACGTATGTTCGCCCCGACTGTCATCGGTATAATTACGTTTGCAAACGGCAAACGCACTCGTGCATGCGTTGCTGACTCGCATCCCGCAACGCCTAAAGCAGCACTCACATAGGAGGGAAAATATAGAAAATTATATAGCTACATCATAATCGTGAGAAATTATATATCTGTGGATCTAAAAATGAAAGGAAATCATTTAATCGCGGGATTACAAGGAAATTGCCAAATTTAAATTTTAGTGGGGGGATTTAAATTTTATTACACGAACTTAAGAAAATTTACTTATTCATTGTTTAAATAATTCAATGAATTCGAATAGAAAAGAGTGAATTGGAAAAATATAAAAAGATACATGAAATGTCAAATATACGTATACAGAAACATAATATGAACACAGATTCCTATACAAATTTATTTCATTTTCTTGCAGAATAATTTCTTGAAAACTTCTTTTCCTCGAACGCTTTTCCGCATTTGCGGTATGATGTTTGTAATATAATACTTCCAATACGATACTGCATTATAATGCTCGATAAAGATATTTACGACAAGCTTACTCACCTCGTTGCTACTTTCTTCAGCTCCCCGATTGTCGGATTATACTCCCGGTCCTCACCGCTAAGTCTCACCACCCCCTCGTCGACAGTCACCCCGTACCCATTTGTCACGAAATCCATCAAATCCGCGAAATCGTCGTGCTTTCTCATCGTCGATAATAGCGGCGTCGTTTCGCTCTTCCCGGATTTTTCAACTACAGGCGTCGTTTCGCCATTCGCTTGTTCTCGACTACCATTGGCTCGTTGAAGGAACTTCCGGCGGAAGTTGTTGTAAACGGTGTCGGCGTCCGGTGGGTCACCGACCCTAACGCGAGCGTGACTCGGGGTCAGGTGATGACCGCTGTATCCCAGATCCATCTGCAAGTCCATCACTAGCAGCAACGTGAATACGACGGCGAATGCACTTAGACCCAGCACTAGCTTATCGCGGATGCGAAGAAGCCTGATGGTCAGTTTCATTTTGAAATTTTTGTCGGTTTCCCTACTGATTAATTTACTTTTCCTATCGCTTTCCAAAAATTTTTGTTTGATTAGCTGCAACCGGAGAGCATCCGACTGATGACCTATAACACCGGAAGACGTTCGTATCAGTCGTTTATCTGAAGACTCAAGGTTGTCGGTTACGTGAAGGTTTGAAAGCGATAAATTATTGGTATCTATCTTAGCTGATAAATTCTTCAGGATCTTAATAGGTTTTTCTAATTTAGTGACGGAATCTTCTATTTTAATGGATGAATTTCTTAAAATATTTCCGGAATTTTCTTCAAAATTCACTACTAATGGCAATTGTGTGTCCGCAGAATTATTCAATTGATGACTTATACGATTGCAGGATTTCTGTGGACTCTTTTGAATTATTTGGTGACGATCTGAAATTTCGAAATTGTTAATTATTTTTGAGGGAGGCAAAATATTGATGTCTACCTTGGTAACTTGATTTGTCAAAACTTCTCCGAAGTCTTTTACCCTGATGAGCGGATTCTTCAAAACCTCTTCCGAGTTTTTTATCTCAGTGACTGGCTTTTTTAATGCTTTTTCGGGCTCTTCTATCTTGATGACATGACTTTTCAAGATTTCTTCGAGGTTTTCTATCTCAATAACTGGATTTCTTATGTTCTCCTTAAGATCCTTTTCGAGCTTCGGACATCCTGATGCACTTCTAATAAGCTCCGCAATAGGACTGGCTTCTAAATTTTCTTCAGCGATATTTATTACCTCTTCAGGGCGCGAAGAGATCTTAAAGATTGCAATATGCTCTTCGGATGGTTTCGCGATCGACTGATGTCCCGCATAGCGATTGAAATCCGCGAGTCTGCATTTCGCGACCGGCGAATCGTGTTTATCTGCTGACCCGCCGTTATCGGACCCCGCTGACCTCTCCGATCTGTCTTCCTCCGGCGGAGGCGATCGCTTCAGCTTAGAATCACTATTGCGTTCTTGTCGCACCTTCTCACATCCGAGAGGGACCTGAGAATTTTTTGATGGAGGACAGCGTCTGTGGACGATCGATGATTGATGGGAAAAATCTGTCGAAACGCTTCTGGTTTGTTTGAGTCTTAAAGGCGGCACGGGCGCTGCTTGATCCTCAACAATAGTTGATGAAAAATTCTTTCTCAACGAAGTATCTCTTTTTGCTGGTTGCGATAAATCTTTCTCTTTTTCGACTGAGGAAATATCTTCGTCAGTTGAAAAACCAAGATTCTGCGTCAAAGAAAAATTACCCTGAATCGTTCTTTTTGTCAATTGCGATAGTGGATTTTCAGGAATGTCTCCTCCTTTTTCAGTCGACGAAATGATTGTTCTAACCGGAGAACAAAAGTCCTTCGTCGATGAACAATTTGTCTGGTGGTTTCTTTTTGTTAACTGCGATTGCGGCCCTTCAGGAATGCCTTTCTCTTTCTCAACTAAAGAAAGAAGGTTCTTCGCCAATGAAGAATTATCCCGGATGGTCTTTCCTGTTAATTGCAATTGTAGATCATCAGGAATGTCTTTTCTTTGCGGTAACAAGGAACTCTTCACTGTGCACTGCGGACTACCTTCAAAATCTTTTCTCGTCAAGCGCATCAGTGGGTCAGTCGACGTATCCTTCTTCGATAATAGTGAACTGTCATCAACATTTTTTTTAATCAAATGTGGGCGCTTTTCGGGGTCGCTTTTTATCGATGATGAACTCCCTTGAACATACTTTTCTAACAATAACTCAGTTTTTCCAGTATCTTCCTTCGTCGAGATCTCGTTAACTGAATTCTTCTGAATATTCTTTTTTACGAGATCTTTCTTGATGCCGTCCCGCGTCGATTTTTCTTCAAGATTTGTCTTCGTCAATGTATTTTCTTCGGCATTTATTTTTGGCAATAGAAGACTCTTATGAACGTCTTTATTGGTCCCCTCTTTCTTCAGCAGCGAAGGACTATTTTTCTGCACTAATCTTGCACTTTGCCGATCGCTTTCTTTGGCTAATAGCACTTTATTTCGAATACTCTCCTTCGGCGACGATGGTTTTTCTTGAATATCCTTTTTCACTAATGCTGGACTCCGTTGATCGCTTCTACTGTCTAATAATAATGCTTTCCCCCGTGAATCGTTTTTCAATAATAAGTAATCTTCCTGTACATTTCTCTTCCCCAAACTTGGACTCCGTTGGATACTCTTTTTCAGCAACAATTGACTCTCCTTGATGCTTTTCAGCAACTTATCGCATCCCTCACCGACATTTTCCCTTAGGACTCTCTTAAAAAAACTCTCCGCTCTTCTAAATCCTGTACGATCTACTTTTAGTTGATCATCGGTCTTATCCGATAATTCGAGGGATCCGTCTGTTATCCGCTTTCCAGAATTCCTTGACTCTTCGTCATCGTCATTCTCGTTCTCAGATCTAAATCCTTCGCACTTCGATCCCGATCTCGATTTCGCTCCCTCCCGCGGTCTTCCGTGATCGTGCGCGCTATCTGTGTATATCGGGCGGTCGGCAGTTGCTGTCGCGTTGCTGCAGTCTGCACTTCCGAAACATTTCCCGTCGGCCAGAGCTCGGGATGATCCCAAGAGATGATCCGGCGTCGCGATGCGCCGGCCTTTCGCACAAACAGATTTGACAAACGCGCGTCAGCCGCACTTTTATCTCACTTCGCGAGCACACGAAGCGTAAGAAGTATATCACTCGTTTAATCAACCCGACGATTTTAAAATACAATTAATCGAAGGATCAACTAGATCTCGAGAAGCACACGCGGCACCGCGAGACCCCGTGAGTCCTCACCGTCGCGTCCTCTGAAACAAACAAAGAAAAAGAATTTGTATTTTATATATTTGTATATCGTATGCGGAAGAAAAACATTATTATTATCGTACATTTGTACAATTTTGTTGCGACTAAAATTCTTTGTACTTAGTTTCGCGTGTCGATGCATCGTGTTACATGATGAATTAATGCGACGCATCGTCGTGGGGTATCATGTGGCTCGCAGCATGCAATTCAAGTCGATAACGAGAGCCAGCGCTATTTTTATACGACAGCGCGCGCGGCGCGGCACATATCCGCAGTTTTTACATCATTATATCCTTACCATCACGTAGGTGTATGATGCACGTGCCACTTTGATATTTACATTGCGCTGCAGCCTATGAAATCGGATAAATGTATGGCGTGATGTAATCTATGCTGTAATCACTTAGATCCTTGTTCCTTTTCTTTACAGCAATTCGACAAAGCTATGATTTGTATATTGCGTGAATTTTATTTATAGATATCTAACGTAATTGAATCTTTAAGAGGAACAATCACTTTATTCGTCATTGTGTTATTTATGAAAGTAACACAATATTATTAAAATATTATTATTTTATAATATATATTATATATATTCAAAATTATAGATAAACGCAACTATTATATTAATAAAATGAAAGCAGCACATAACGATTCCAACATTTAAACATTTTGCCTCATAATGCCGACAACATTGAATCGTTCTCGCATTTGTCAGTGGAATTTCAATTCTCCTAATTGCTAATTAATTAGTAAACGTTAATGAGAGGCAAGGGAATTGGGCAGCTACAAATAGTAGACTCTCAAATACCAAGAGCTCATATGTTATTTCGAAAACGCGATCACGTCTCCGAGTATACGCGCGGTGGATTGCGTTTTACGAACCTCCACCTCCTCCCCGCTCTAGTGCCTTCTTTTTTCCGCGCAGAGAAATGGCCGTATAGGTATTATATGGTATCTTTATTATATCGGGATTGCGAGACGCGCGGAATTTCAATGGCACCTTCAATTTCGATGCAACAACCAGCTGGCATCGACTTTTACAACGAGAGCCCTGCTCGTATTACACGATGTAAGTGCCTGTTCGGATTGCAGATTCCGGTGAAACGGCCGTCCAAAGATCGGCAATCGCTCCGATAAATATTAACGACTTAAAGATGACTGGCCATTTTCTAACTGGTAAACGATCTCACAATTCTCGATTTCCTATTCGATTATTTTAACGATTGGAAATTTGTTGTACACAATATTTGTCAAAGTAGTATATGTCTTTACTTTATCGCTTACGTGCACGTATATGCTTTATTTATTATCATTTCGTTTCCTTTTTTACTCACGATTTGTGTTATAAATGTTAAATGACAAAAACTGATAATTTTCAGGTTACAAATATCAGAAATAATCCAATCTTACGTATTAGATTAAATAATGCAATTCTATTATCAAAACTGACACTTCGATCGTTTGATGCGTTTCTCTGTACAAAATTCTGCTATTCCAAATATAAGATCATGAATCCAATCCAAGCAATGGTTTCTCAGTATCTGGCAATTTTTAACCATCCATTTATATACATCGTCGTTTTAGTTAGACAGAAATTTGTTAGTGAATTAAAATTTATATAGTATGTTCAAAAATAAAATTATATTTAACGCTATTAAAGAGAAATCAAATTATTCTTATTAGTTTTGAACATTTTTTTCAGTGTGAGTAATTTTTTCATTTCGGTATAACATTGGATATCCTATTTTTTGATCACTTTTAGCATCATCATTATCGTCATCCGAACGTAAATATTCGTGTACTCTAATTGATATCGATAGCTTTTCGAACCAAACAGTGCAGTGTATTGATAAAAGGATTCACGCGCAGAAATAGCACATTACGGCTTTTTATCGTCTACACCGAGGGAGGGTTGCATCGCCGGGTCAAGGTGCGCTCTTTAAGGGAAGGGTGAAGGCGGGTGGATATCAACTGTGAAATAGAGTGACGGTAATGGGGTGCTTCGCGTTGCGAGAGTGGCCATTACAGTTATCGCGGAGTCGCGTCATAAAGGCGACGGTGCAGGCTTTTATATGAACGTATACACGCGTTTATATAAACGTAATATATATCAATATATATATATATATATTGCGTATATGTTATGTATGACATATAAATGGCGTCGCATCGAAGCGACTGCATAATTCAATATCCCTATCGGTATGCTGTGCTTCCGAAGAAGAGGTCTTGAAAACAGGGCGTGTATTCTCGATTAATAATTTCCATTTTTTTTTTGGAGGAGATTTAAACAATACGATTTTATTATTTGAATAAAATATAAATTTAATAACAAATAATCTTCAAATTATAGTAATGAATTATTTAATCTATTAAAAAGCTTACCACGTCAAAATAATTTTTCTTTTCAACGATTTTAACGTTCCGCGAAGAATTAAAATAATTATCTTTTCAGTTATCTTCAGTAATTTTATCTGTAATGAAGTTTTCTAATTAAGCAGTTCTTAGAGGAATAAATTATTAATGAATAAATGTTTTATGATATTCGATTTGTGTTGCGAAAGTTAAATTTAAAACACTGATAATTTTCTGGATAAACATCAGAAGTATGTCAATTTTGCGTGATGCAAAATTAAATAATGTTGTTCGAGTACCAAAAATGAACTCCGATTTTTGTTCGCTCGATGCATTTCTGAATACAAAATCTGATCTAAGCATAAGATCATGAATATATAAAACGCAATAAGATTCGTTTTTTAAAATTCTTAAGGGTTTTATAATTTAAGAATAATATTTTCAACACACCCTACACAAATTTAGCTTGCGCGACCTCGTTTTATTTAGATTCAGATTGGCTAAGATATTTCGATGATATTCGAATCGCGACCTGCTTTTATACACTTTATTGTAACTTGTGTTATTGATAACTTGCATCACTGATATCGACGATGAAGCTTTTATATTTTATCGTGTTTACTTGATAAAAAAAAATAAGTATAAGATAATAAATGCTTACTAGAAATATAGACATTTTTATTTCGTATCTGATTTAAATTTTTGAATAGAATGGATAAGTAATATTTATTCATAATCACATTCACATACATGTTTTGTAATTTATAATCTATGATATTATTTTTAATATGCAAATTAAAAAATTTGTATATTTATAGTTTAATACAAATTGGAAAAAATGTGTGTTATTGTACATGAGAAAAATTTTGCCGCGACCATAAAGAAGGAAAAATTAACCCTCAGCAAATAACACAGGATCTTTTAGATCTCCATGGCATAAAAATATTCTGCATGTATAATACCGCATAAAGAATAATAAAAAGTGTAATAATAAAAAGAGTAATGCTGCATAAACGTACATTTAATAAAACACATGATAATAAATTTGTAGAGAGAATCTCTCTGCTACTATTATATTTTATTAATCTGTCATACGTAATTTTATTACACTTTGCAAGTACTTTATAAGGTTCAAATAAATGCTATAAATTAAAGAATTTTTCACTGAATTCCATAAATGTTTTATAAATTTCAATTGAAATTATTGGATAGAAGCTGAACTATGTTAAGTATGAGATATCCCGTTTGAATCTATAAATGCGTAAAATGCATATTTAATTTGCAAATTTTTCATATGAAATATAATGAAAACAAAAGTACTGAAAGAAGCGATTTTTAAGGAGAATTCGATTATATGCCAACTCCGTGAAAATTGTGATTCTGCGAAATTTCTCTCCCCTTCTCTCTGTTCCCCTCTAAACCTTGACTGGGCTCTTTCGCTTATTGAATCTCACGCGGAATTTGTTTCGCAAGCAAAAAGTGGAAACCTCGGAGTGCAATTTTCAACAGGCATAACAAGCCTGCCAACGGCACGCGTCATTTTACGCAGCCGTAAAAAAGCAGATTGCCGGTGACGTAAAAAAAAAAACAAAACCGTCAACGTTGTATGAGAAAAAAGAAGCAGAAAAAATCCGCGGGTAAATATATATTTATTATTATAATTATTATAAGCATTTCCTAATCTTTATTTTCGCAAACCTGAGATCCACACGCTTAATGAGTTTTCTAATTATTCATTGTAGAGTTCATAGTTGAGATATGCTTAATTATATGTATTAATCCTAAAACCCAGATGCATATTATGCAATATTAAATATATAATCAATGTGATACGGAAGATTCAATTTATAAAAAGTAAAATTAAGAAACCGTCGAACTATGACAGGGAATTTCGCCAATCATTAGATGTATGTCGAAATTACTTATCGTGCTCTTATCACTTTGACCGCGAATAAAATTAACGTAAAGAGAGAGAGAGGCAGGGAAGAAGAAGGAAAGGATTAAGTCAGCGGAATTCGTATCTGTTCTCACACAACAACAAAGCTGCATACGCCGGCGCAGTAACCGTGCGAGAAGACGTTATCTTGCAGGGAGCGAAAATTGCAACGAAGCTGCAATTTAGAGTCGGGTAGCCTCGTTAACGTTATTTGACTGCGTCGAACGAAAGGTAATCCTTGCTTAAGGATTATAATATGCACTTGGGATAATAAACATTCTAACATTTCTCTATAGCATGCACTTCTAAAATTGTAACAAATTGAATTTTTAATATCAATATTTCAAAAAGGATTTTATGAAAAGGAAAGAAAGAAAGATATTTTAGTACATTTTTTAAAAATGCTTAAAAATTCTAAAAATACAGCAGTACGTTGCATAAATTATTTAAAAATCACGCTATCTGAATAAAGAAATGCAAAAACAACTTGTTGTGAAAGCAATCTAACTAGTTTCCATGAAGCTCAATTAATCGTGTTGACGTAAAACTACATTAGTAAAAGTGTCAATTAATTTTTCGGAGACGTGTCTTACCGGTTTCGCTAATTTTTCTAAAGTCGAGTGCGACGAGAGAAAGAGGAGGTGTAGCAATGGAGAATAGAAATGTGTTTGCACTCTTGCTTGCATTCGCTCGCACTTTTGCTTGCACTTCGATGCTTAGCCAGTTTTCGCTTTCTTCCGCGAAACCTGTCGGCGAAATCTTTTCGCGAGACAAGTTGCGGTAAAACGACGTTCGACATTTACGCTCGTTGAGTTTCTATAACAAGAAGCCAACGGGGCCCTGAGGCCCCGAGATTCCCGCAGAGATGTTAAATGCGTTATTTCCAACTCTTTTGTATTTTTTTTGCATTGGAAATAAAATAGGAAATTTCGGAGGAAGAAAAGTGAGATGAAATACAGAAATTATTACAGAATATCATTATTAATATCGTATAATTATTATTATAAATCTGTTCCACGTAAATTGCGATCCACTCGCACTTTTGTCTTCAAAATTCAAAAATATGGAATAAATAGAATTGTCGGAATTAATGAGTTAACTTGCGTTGAAAGCACGCGACGCAACGAATTAACGAATGCAAAGTTTCTGCGCGGCGAGCATCAGGGTCGTCCCTCTTTCTTTGCCTACATTACTCAATAATACATTGCATGTACTTATTAATATATCGCAATAATGTAACCGTTCATAAATATGAATTTAATAACATTCATATTAATTTATAACAACTTTTCTGAAATAATAATTATATTTATTATATTCCGATCGATCGGAGTGCTGCTACGCCTCTCGCAAAAAACAGCACGAAGCCGGCGATGCGATGTGATGCACCGTCGCGCGCTGGTGAAATCGTTTTCGCGAACGCATGTACTTGAGATGCACAACGGCGAAGGCTAGATGCAGTCTGCGTGCACACGGCTGGGCGAATAATGCGTTCTTATGCGCAAGCACGTGTGCATCGCGCGGATTATGCAAGAGGCCAGCCTCGTGCTGGGTCGTCGAGCACCGTTCAAGATGCACGTTAAGACGCACGTTACTTAGTCACGATTACTATAGGAATAATCGGAGATTGGATGTTTACGGGCGGCTAATGGCAAATAGCTTTTCAATTTGAAAGAGTGATAGTATGACGGAAGATATTACTAATATCGTAATCATATAATCACAGTTAGATGACAGTAGATTCGTGTTTACAAAATATTTCTACGAAATACAAGAATATTAATATTAAAATATTAAAAATTTAAATTCTAGCTAAATAATAAGAGTAATATGTAATTTAATGGCGAAATAAATAAAATAATATATAATATTACGCGAAATTAATTTTACACAAGCGTTATTTAACGGTAATAAATTTATACAGAATGTGTAATTAAAAAAAATGCGTTCAAAAACTAAATAATTAATCTATAATTCACATATCATTGAATTAATAAATCCTATTCACATTTTGCCAAAAATAATATCAAATATTAGTTCATTCGATATCAAATTTACTTCATTCGGAAAAAAATATATACGCGCATATATATTATAATTACACTAAAATTTCCAAACAGATATTTATTATTATTTTACTCAGATCGGGATGCGCGCTTTGCGCTTTCAGCCCTTCTCGTAAAAAAAAGGAGGAAAAAGAAAACTACGATAAAGAATATCTCGCGGGACTTGTCCTTTTAACGCATACTGGGGCAAAGGGTAGAAAGGGATTCGGATTTATCTTTGATTTTGCGTTGGCAGGATGGCAAGAGATGGAGAAAAGAAAAGAGAGAAAAAAGGATGAGGAAAAGTACATATTAATCCCATAAGAGTGCTGGTGGTGGTTTCGTTGAAATGTCGGCGAGCAGAAAAGCAGCATCTAGCTTAAATTCCAAGGGATATTTCGTTTGATAAAATCCATCTCCCTTTCTCCTCCCTTCCGTTCTCGATCTCACGACCCGAGGAGAATAAAAAAAAGGATGTAATAATGATTGCATCTAAAAGATACAACTGAGGAAACTCCGAAGGTGAAAGATTATGATTAACTCGTCGCGCGACTATTATATTATGCAGCTAAAAATATGCATTGATAAGGACGGGGAATCGGCACGTACAGCAGTAAAAAATGTACAACAACGTACAGCACGTATAGCAACAAGAAAATAATTTTTTTAAAAAAGGATTGCAGAAAAAAATATATAATAATAGTAAAGTAAAAATATGAAAATTTCTTAATTTCTTACTTACGCAATTAAATCTAGATAGATGTTATTGCGTACAAAAATTAAAATGTTAAATTATTAAAAACTTTACTAATATTTGCATATGTAAAAGTGGTACCGTAGTAAAGATTATAAATCTACGGAAAAAAATTTTGCCATAGAAGAATAATTGATCGCGATAAAAGAATAAATTTGCAATATAATTTATTTTCAAACAAGATATATGAAGATTTCGAAGAAGTCAATTGTAAAATGCACACGTTTCAATGATTTAAAAAAACCTGATGTTTATGAATTTTTTGTATTTTCACAATTTACACGACTCGCGAGATTTTCTATCGCGCACGGAAGCGAGGAGATACAAAACACATAAGCTCAAACAAAAAAGTAAACAGAGAAGGAAAAAATAAATTTACACATGGAGATGCGAAATTGGAAAGTTGGAGAACGTGACAAATGGGAAATATTCCCATTCAGGGAACGCCATAAAAACTCATAAAATTATTAGTCACATTTTTTATATTTCATTATTACATATCGATTTTACTATTATATTACAAATTTATTTACATTTATTTTTATTGTTATCGTAAAAAGCTTTTAATTATTATTAATTTTATACCTCGCAAAATTTAAGGAAACATGTTTTTGAAACTTAAAAGACTTTCGCGCAAAGTATTTTTTTTAATTACGAAAGCGTGAGAAAAAGGCTCTCGCCTTAAGGACTTTCTGAGAAGAAGAACCTCTCAACAGTATGTCCCTACCGACAAGATGCATATTGTATTTTTTTTTTTTTTTTTCTAACGCCGGACCGCGAGCCTCTCTCAAAGTCGGTGAACGTTTCTGAGATATAAAATTATCTCTCTCGACTAAAGATGAGAATATTATTTTTACGACTTGGCAGAGCAGAAATAAAACAAAGAAATGCAGAACGTCAGCTAATTTGCTTTGCAAAATTATGACAAAGCAATAAAGTGGAGTAAAAAATTTGTTAAATAATGAATAATCCTATATAAAAATTATTATACGCACAATATGATACATATTAGAACAATGACTTCAAAAAATAAATAATCATTTATTTCGATTAAAATGTAAGTAATTAAAATTTATAATTTGCAGTAAAATTTTAGTGTATTCCGGTATATATGTACATATAATATTTGTAGAATCAAATTTATTTATAGCATTAAAAAAATGTTCGATATTTATGGAAGTTTTCACCAATGTCGCTTTATTTTAACTTTGATATAATCGCTTTTTCGTCTACTGGCTTTGAAGGAATAAATTAAGCCGAGGTCAAAATTAATCAATGTTGAAAGCGGTCATTATTGGCACAGTAAAACGATAATTGGGCAGACATAAAGTAGATGAAAGCTATTCATTGTTCGACGATATAAATGTACAAATGTCGTAAAGACTTCTAAAGATGTGTTAATATTTTATACAAAAAAGTGCAAAGAGTCAAAGTTCAATTTTGTGAAATATACGAAAGAAAAATTTATGCTAATGATTTTGGTAAGCGCTTGATAATACATATTATATGTAGCCTCGATTGACGTCATTACTTGAGAATGACACTCGAGTTATAATAGACAGAATGGAAAAAAAGTTGAGGAATTAACTCACCGACTCTTCTTGATAATCTCCTCTCCATGATTGGTCCAGCTGCAGTGTCGCTATGTGTTGTTAATTCGGAGTTAATTCACACCGGTTAGTCGAACGCGTATTAGTCATCTGCAAAACAAGAGCAGGCTTCTTAATAAACACGAAACAAACATCTTCTGAATTGTCATCGTTTCATTTGGCGCACGCTATAAATATAATTGGGCAAAAGTCCAAAAGTCCCTCCTTCTATTTTATTGATGTTAATTTATACGCGAGCGCACGTGGATTTAATGATAATAGACGAATTTTCAAAAAGCATGTTATCGGTGTAAAAGCAAGGTCTATTGTAATGTGATATAGGCGCACTCTGATAAGAATTATCAATGACCTCGTCGAGAAAACGCTCGTATAATAAACATCACGCAGGGTATTTAAAAGCAAGGTTGACTTTGTCAATTATTTCAGGCGTAACCACGTGTGCATAAAGATAATATAAAGATAATATTCATGGAGATAATTTTTGTGGGTGCAAACGGGCGTAATGGTGCCGATTAATCATCGTCAATCCGAATCACTAGGTGGATCGCGCATCCATCATGCAAGAGTGTTTAATTCCGACCACCATGTTGCGACAATATCCATCAACGTGTCGTTGGCTAGTGCTGGGATGAAAGAGTTCGAAAAATCGTGTAAAAGTTTTATTCCGCGGCATTACTTAGTTTCTATGTTTGCGCGAAGAAAAATATAAGATATTCATTTCAGTTTATATTTATACGTTTATATCTAAAATGCTTGGACATCTTTAACTGTTCGCAGAAAATAGATCAATTTTTTAAATACACAAGAATTTTTTGTACGTCTATTTTTCATATAGAATGGCTTTATAGATTTGAAAAATATGAGTTTGTTTTAAAGGTTGTTGTACGTTGTGAAAAGTTACTGAAATGGTTTGTTGTTCATACTGTGCAACAAAGTCTGACCACGAATTCTACTTGTATTGTTCTTGTTTTAAATTCGATCTATTCTTGGTGTTTTAGCACTATTTTAGCACCGTTTGCATATCGAGCGTATATATTGCTTCATATTAGCGAAAATACCGCCTGCAATTTTGCTCAGAACTGTTTACTTGATTAGCTTTGAAGAATGAACGATAATAATTCTGTCAAAAAATTAATTTCTTTGAAAGAAGAAACTTTCTCGTTAATTTTCAATTCTTTATTTCCATTTTTAACTTCTGGTATATTTATTTAAGTGTTTTCTTTCAGTTTGTTTTATTCGATTATAAAGTATCTTATTTTTTGGCAGCTTTGATCGTTTTAATGTGTGCGATCGTTTTAATACATTCAATTCTAAAATTTTTATATATGAAATACGCACACATTAATATATTACAATATTATTACAGTATTATGGTATATTAAATTATGATAGCCAATCAAATAATCATTTTGTGTATACATAAAAAGAGAATTACCTCATGTTTGCGTTTCACCCTTGCACTCTGTAGGGCGATCTCGCGAATTTACGAGACGCGCGACTCGGTGAAACAAATCGGCGCGCGTTTAATCGCGCATTTTATGGTCGGTGCATTTTACGGGAAGGTGCGCAATTAAACGCGCCGATGCAATTAACTGGAGCGAGATGAAAGAAGGAGGTCCAAGAGGGATCCATCATTTACATAAGAAGATTGAATAAACATTCCGCCGTAGCGGTACTTGTATTCTCACATCACAGTGCATTTATTATTTCTACACTAAAAGTTTATTCCATTTGAATAAAAAAAATCTGGTTGCATTAATAGGAAATCTGGTGGATTCAGCCAGAATCTGATTGCATTAATAGGACATCTGGCAGATTCAACCAGAGTCGTTTGATTTGTTTAAAATCAACCACAATTTTTTTTCAGTGTATAAATAAGTTTCAGTGTATATATAAGATTCAGTGTATATATAATTAAGTTATTACGTGTTTGTGAAGCAAAACTTTCATTACCGCTTCCCGATGGATTGACCTTTCCTTTTCTTGTAAATTGACTGTTCCACGGCGTAAAAAGAGTATAGAAATCTCAAACAGTGCGCTTCTCTCGCTCGCGTCACGCTCTCTTTCATTCGTCGAAGAGGTTCGACGATCGATCTTTTTATCTGTTAGCTATTATTATCGTTACACGGCTGATGCTTTCATTAGATCGGATTCTCTCTTTCTCGCTCTATCTTTCATTAAACTTTGATGGAATCCGTTACACTTTCATACCTTTTTTCAATTTAATATCTAAATGCACTAATGTGTCTTCATCATGTAAAGCATCTCTTGTAAAGTAAATCTTGTAAAGCATGATTAAAATTATTCTCATTACAAGTTTCCTGATATAACAAAGTTTTTTAAATAGAGCAATATATATAAAGCTATTAATGAAATTCATGTATCTATTAGAATATCTTAGGATAATCTCACACAAGCGACAAGAAAGCAACGCGTTACTTTCCGGGAGCAATTAGTGGTCACGATGAAATTGCCGCACGTTGTTTTATGCGAAATACTGTGAATTTCATGCGAATTCACGAATTCGCGCAATTAAAACGGACGTTCTATGTATGCGTTTATATCTATGTTTGATAAACAAACAACGAGCCGCGCTTATTTGATACAAGTATAATGCGCGTGCTAGCCAGCCAATTATCATGCAAATATTAATAACGCAAACATTAATGTCGACTCGACCGACATTTTGTTTCCTCTCACAGTCTCGTTGTGAAAAAAAGTGTGCGAAATTTATTAATTTTCCACTATTCTAGAAATTTTCGTATTATTTTCTGAGGTTCTTAGAAATTACTAATTTCAAGGCATTTAATTGCAATTTGTCTTTTTAATTTGCGGCGAGAAAATGAAAAAAATGAGAGAGAGAGAAAAGGAATCATCTTAGAGATCAACTGGCCGAAAAGAATCAATTTCTTGGCAGAATGAAAGCACAGAGCTTTCGCTTGGATTGACTTTCATCAGTTTCTTGGGAGAGATTGACTGAAAGGATCAGTACCCATGGAAAGTCGACAAATTTGAAATTCGACGTTGCTAATAAACGTCTATTTGTGCCATCACTTGCTTCTCTCCCAAAGTTTATCTATCCATTTAGAAAAAAAACTTATTTGATGACCATGAAAGGAAAAAGACGAATACATATTTGCACAGATTATATTTACTTGCGAGCAAGCAGTATAAGTTAGCGCAAGTACGCAATATAATTACGAATGTGTATTATTTTATGAAAAAAATACTCGTAGTACTTAATTTTTGCATTTCGGTATGCTCTTTTATTTTAGGGTTGCTTGTTATTTGATTGTTTCTCTTGAGATTTTCTTTTGGGACTTTATTTGAGACATTTTCACAAAAATGTACATATTTTACACGTGTATAACTTATCATCGCAGTCTCAGCACTGGTTGGCTCGTCTCATTATCCGAGATAATTAACTCAATTTAAACTTGCTATCTTCTGGCTTGTCGCTTCTCTTACGAAACTGTCAATCAGCCGCTTTATCAGTAGCTTTTTCAGCAAGGCAACAAATTAACTCTCGCTACTCTTTCATCGTTCTATCGAAAAATCTTAACTATGGAAAATTATAATTGAAATAGCTTTTTAATATCGAATGTCGTGTATTAAAAAATGCAAGACAAAATATATATAAAAAACAATATGTTTGAAAAAAGAATATCAAGATAATTATCTCTCTTGTCTAAGAATATGAATTTAAGATGCTAAATATCAGCGGATTAAAATTGAAATACAGTGAGATGCAATTTTTTATCGCGAAAATAATTCCTTTGAAATCTCTTTTAAAATTTTTCAGTCTAATGTAAAGACTCTCTTTGAAACGAAAGAGTACGAGAGATCCTGATTTCCGCTTGAGAACGCTCAATATACTAATTGGCGCTATATTAACGCCGTCGAGAACACTCGATAAACAAATTGTAATATAAAGGATCATTGAATCGAAGAAGACGACGATCGAAATAAATAAATGCATATTGTCTGCTTCGTTGTTTTTGAATTTATCGATCGTTTGTAGCTCTAAAGCACCTTCAAAGGTCTCTTTGTGAATTTCGGAGCAAATTTATGTTAACAAAGTTCGCGAATCGCAGGAAAATGTAATTGAGTGATAGTTTGAGAAAAAAAATCCGATAAAGCTTGTTGTACGGAGTGTTGTTGAAATATTCGAATAAACTCTAGAAATAAAAACGTTAATTTTATATAAAATCATGAAATTTGGAAGTTTTTCCTCGCTGTACTAAAAAATGAAAGCGAACAATTATTTGTATTGAAGGCTACATTATGTGCTAAGCTTTAACGCATACTTTTCACACACGTGTGAACTTTAGTTCGTGCCCCTCAAGACAAGAGATTTGAAACGAGAAAACGAGAGGCAGATTGCATCTGCTGTGGAAGGAAATGGAAGGAGTGCAAGGAACGTGAATTTTACGCCCGATGGAAATCACCGTGTAACATCGTGATATGAACGATGCGGAGCGTCATAAGACGATTTTCCGCGCGTGCTATCATTGTTTGCCCGCTTTTCCTTTACACATATTATTCCACTTTGATTTTAGCCCTTTTGTCGATAGCTGCAACGTGACGCGAATCGGCGATATCCGATGAGTTTTTTAGAAAAGATGTCGGTTTGTGTTCTCAAAAATTAAAAAAATATATAAATATGCAATCATCTCTCTATACATATTTTCATATAAATAATAATAATGTTATTACTATAAATTCTATAAATTTATATTAAATATACAAAGTATAAAAACTTGCGAAATATTCGTGGGAAAGAAGTTCTGCTCTTAATTTATTTCCGCATTCGATTCGGCCACATTTTTTCGATTAGATCTCGTCTCGCTCATTCACGCTGCCATATTAAGAGCGACAAGCGTAACGTAACTGAGAAAAATTATGCGGAAAATCGCAAGATGAAATGAGGACGGACGTGAAAATTGCCGCAATCGTAAAATTTGTTCAATGCTTATTTTATATTACTGTAATATAAAAATAATGTCTTTTTAAATTACATCTGTAAAATTCCTCGAAGAGTTCGAAACTACATATATATTATATATATATATATATATATATATATATATATATATATATATATATATAATTATTAAGTTAATAAATTAAATGTTAGATTGATTATGTTTGCATATTTACAATCGAGATGAAATAGTTTTGTCTCCGTGTAGAAAATTTCACACCGCACAGCAGAGATGAAGTCTTTGGAACAACAGCAATACCAGAGATAGCAAAAGAGTTGCGCCTAAGTGTTTCTTCGAGGAGTCCACGAGTTGTATCTTGACGATCGCGCTTCATCCGTGTCATCTGCTCGCGCGGAAAATTGCGCTCGCTCGGCAAGATGAAGGAAAACTTTGTTTCAAGGAAAAGCACGGTAAAATACAAACGTGAAGCAAAGAAATGATCGGAGCTAGGAGGATCTATGAGATGCTGAGTTGCTCGTTTCATCGACCGTTCGTTACACACTTTAAACTGTGCAGCATATTTAACAGCACAGAACCGTTGCAATAGTAATAACGTGCATTTTGATTTCGAGCAACATAAATAATCAATTTAATCGAGAAAAAGTCATCAAAAAATTTACGATCATACACTTGTTATGTCCTTTCTTTTCGAATGAGTTTGAAATAGACATGTGCGATCGCTGTAATGGATCTCGCTGTGCGCGTGTTACGCTTGTTCATCTTAATATCCGCGCCGCCGTGCCGTGGGTGGACGAGATAAAGCCTAATCAAGAAGATGCGGCCTTATCCGTGTCGCAAACTGAGACATATTGCGCGGTGAGCTGCGACGACGATACGTGCGTCGCATAATACCAATCATGCGAATCACACCATCTATAATACCTGCAAATTCGCACAACAACTTTCTCCTCCCTATCGCGCTTAATTTGGACAAATTTTATTTTGCAGAACTGTATATATATAGAATCTACAATATTAATCTATATTGTTTTTAATAACATTATTTACGGGCTGAACGTAAAATTGATATTAAATATTTAATATCAATTAAAAAATTGTTAGATATCAATTAAATTTAATTAAATTTAATTAATAATTAAAAAAATTCATTCAGCAAAGTAAGAATTACTTGTGCTCGGGTAGCTTGATAGTGTTACGTTTTATAATGGATGAATAAACGAGGAATGCGAGGAAAAGAGGAAAACGCAGAACGGAAACCAACCGCGTACAGTGACCTTGAGTCACTGCGCTCGCTACATAATGCAATTATAATTAGCGAGCGTTATAATTGTTATCTGCTTAAGTAATAATTGTTCAATCAAATAAAGATTGTCGAAATTATTCACTTACTAAAATTGAATATATAATCAGGAAACAGATCGCAAGTACAGATGTGGCGTAACAGTAATTTAGAAAGACACAGCTGAATTTATTTTTCTCGTATGCACAGGTGCGCACTAAAATGTCGAAGATAAAACGTTAAAAATATTGAAAATACTCGTATGGAATATTTTCGTTCTTCTAGGGGTGAACTATATTTTACATTGTGCGTAATGTAGCACTATAAATTTATATATAATATTAATTTATATAAAATGCCGCTATAATATTAATATTAATAAAACGTTGAAGTCAAAAATGGAATTCTAATTAAGAAATAAACCGCGGATGCAAATATGAAACGGCAGCAATTTGGAAAACACAAGCGATTGCATTTTTTTTTGTATGCACAGGTGTGCATTCCACGCGCATCCGAGCATTTATTACAGCCTGAGGCGAATAAACGCTGCCTACAGAAATAAAATTGTTCCTGTTATTTTACGTGTTTTCCTGATGCTATAATAATTATACTGCTCGAAACTATTGATCAAATATTATTTTGCATTATTTTGAAATCGATTTTGTACATTTTTTTTTATATTTACACATTCCTCTTTACGTATCTTACAATTATATTTTTAAATTGATAGAGAAATCAGGGAAAGAACATACTTAGCATAATAAAACTATTGAATTACATGTTTGTTTGTACATATATCGTTATGCACATTACAAATGCGCGTTGTCGCATTCGGTTAAAAAAAGATGCACTCGAGAATCAGGATTTCGGCCAGCTGGAACTATTCTAGATCACGCCGGATCTATTTTCAAAGGCGCTTGCTATACGTCCTACGCTCACCACGAATCTTGATGGCCCTGAAAACTCAAAACCTCTTCCCTATTTTCACCCAAGTATTTTCCAAAGTACGAAAATGATACATTCGTTGATCTTAATTCATTTTTACAAAACAATAATAATCTGTTGACGCATAAGAGAGGAGACGAGAAATAATATTTCTTCAATATCGTTACATGGAACTTGTTTTTGTGATAAAAGAGCGGACAATTATAAAGTCTTATAAAAAGTCTGATGTAATCATGATTAAATCGTAATTAAAAGAAGTTAACGCGTTTAGATTTCTTACTGCAGATTATTTATCAATAAAGATATAATGATATTCAGTGTTTCGCAACTATATCTTTAATCAAAATTAGTTAATGAACAAAATGAAATATAATTAATTGTTTTACGTTTTCCTCATAAATCTTACATATTTCTCGTCTATCTTCAAAATGTAACAATTTGATGAACACAAACTCATCGCTATTAATTAGTTTGGAGCGCCTATTGGAGCGTATTGGTTTGTATTTTCGACAACGTGGACTTAACGGATTATTTTTCTCTTTCCACAGTAGATTTGTCTTTAGTTATTAATTCTGAAATTACGTAATCGCGAAATAACACAATAAACGACCGACGTATTATTAGATAGTTCGCTTGGCGTAGCATGGCCGAACCTCGAAAGTTATGAGAATAGCACTTTAACGATTTTACACCAAAACACCGCTCGATTCTAAATGCGATCAATGTGGTTGTCAATTAATTTTAATTCAAATAGACATTAGAGCGGCGTGTGGTTTTAATTGTTGATCTTTAGTTGTCTACAGCTTTCCCAATTACAAAAATTATAATTTTATAATAACATTATATAATTGATAAATTGAAAACTGTATAGATAATTTACGTTTCTAATTTGTTTTATTTCTAATATTATTATCATTCGATATTTTTAATAGATATTTAATTATAAAATTATCACTTTACATATTAAAGTGTCCAATGCTAACATTGTCCTGACATTCCGGAACATCCTCCAAAAAAATTTCGTCGCACAATTTGACATGTTCTGAAATTTCCCGAATAACCGTTTCTCACGCTGTTATTTCCGCGGACAAACTTCAGAATAAGTTTTTTTATTGTTGTTCATCGTCGAGCAAATTGACGTTATTATGCGGTTTATCGCGGTGGACCGCAATTGTCGAAACAAACGCAGTTCGCAATTTCGCAATGGAACGCGAATTTTCCATTTCAATTTAGGCAGCGTGCAATTTATTTCGTTTACTTTTAATGTCATTACAACAATTTACGATTATAATCTTATAATTGTATTAACGTGCGTTTCATCAGTAATTATCTAATATACTAAATATTAACTTAGTTTTAGTAATTTGAATACTATATTAATATTCACTATAAAAGTGTTTACTATAAAATAAAAAATAAAATACTATAAAATTAAAATAAAAAAAATTAATGTTTACTATAAAATAAAAAAAAACAAGAAATCTGAAAGAAATAATTTTTTAAATAAGAAAGCAAAGAGACTGTTGAGTCAGACGTAAGATGTGCTTGCTAATAATATCAGTGTATTAAAAGAAATGTTGACAAATGTTTCGGCCCTGTTTATCTGATCATTTTTGGTGCAGCTCTAAATAACAAATTGAAAAATTACGCTTGCAAATCTAAATGATACCATGAGTAAAAATAAATAAAATGGCAGGCGCAATAAAATAATATTTAATTATAATAACAAAATAACAGTGAAATAATAATCCTCCGTAAATATATTTAAAGTGAAATATTATTCCTAGACAGAAACAGCTTTAAAGTGTACAGCGTGTTCAAAGAGAAGGGTGCCAAGACGGGGAGATCTAATTACTTTTGCAACGAGAGGAAGGAGGGGGGAGGGGGTGCTTAAAAAAGGCTTTCGTTGCGTAATTAAAATATGAATAAACATGCGTGTTACTTTGCGTAAGATGCGAATTTTCTATGAATTATTTATCGCGAGTCGGTGCACCATTTTCTTCGCGAATTAATGATGCAACGTACATTTCGCAAGTATAATAAAACTCCTATTTAAAATGTACTTTACTGAGTTTACCATAAACATCTAAATAAGAAATAACTGTTTCTTTGAATTTCAAACGTCAACACTTGTATTACACTAGCATTTGTAGCGAAGTTTGTGAAAACAAATGGAATCAATTGTTTCTTATGAAATAGAGTACACCTTAATATTTAATTTTTAATAAAATTTCCAGATAAGATCAATAATTAGAAAGAATTTAATTGTCTAGATAACTTTGATCAGCGTTTAAATTTATCAAAAATTACTCTCGTGCATCTCCACGATATATTTAATAAATTTCATTAATTTTGTAGATCAATTTCTTCTAAATCTTTTTACATATGTTAAAAATTTATAAAATTTCTAATGAACAGTAAATCTAATATTCTTGTATTATTGAAATCTTGTGAATTCTACATATTGTACACTTCGATTCTTTATGATAATTTTAATAGTTAATAATTATTTTGCAAATTGAAAGCTTTCTCTTACAATTGATTGTTAAGATAGGAATAACAACATAATCTTGAAGTCGTACACACCTTTTTTGTCACTCTTGTCCTAATCGGTCCTCTCGGCAATAGAGTTGGAAAAATAATATTTAGCATTCACAAGTATCACACTCGCGGTTATCCTGTGCGCTCTGAATTCGCGGCAGGACAGCTTCACGATACCGCGGAAAATCGAGGGACAGGCCTCGTAACGTCGGCAATCGTCGTTAATTTGAATTGCAACGAAACGAAACGCACGACCCGGTTTCCGAAAGCGTCACGCGATCACGCAATAATATGCTGTAGGAAAGCACCACGTGGCTGTGCGATCCTTAGGGTGAGAAGCACACGACAAACCAACTTCGCATGCCGGCAGCTCGCTGCGCACTGACGCGCCGCGCGTTCCGTCGGTTCTGTCAACGCGATCGCCGCGCGCGTTTCTCCCACCAAATCGCATTCAGCTTCATCTAGCTATATTCTACGTACACCACGTAATCCTTCGACGTGTGTGTAGCGTCGTAAATTTGTAATTGCACATGCACGCATCTGCTGTGCTTGATGAGAGAATAATACAGTCAATTTTCTAAGTCTTTGGTATTTTATCTTTTAAAAATAAATATAATTCACGCATTTACACTTTATTATTTTCTTTAAGCATACTTATTTGAATATAGACAAAAGAGAATTAAGAAATAATTTTTTTCAATTACATTTTACAAATATCTTCATCCTTTTGCAAATTTATTTCAACTGAAAGAGTATTTGTCGTTTATAAAGAAGATATTGCGTGGTATTTTCTGCCGAGTCCAATTTTCAATCACTTTGCCGTTTTCAACAATGACAATTTATTCAACCATTTCGCGCAAAATGCATATTACGTTGTTAGCCATTCATATTCAGCTAACTCTTGTACCATGTGCATTGCATAAAAAAATTATATTGTTATACATGAAATCATTTTCCACTTTTTCTGTATTTTCTGTGTATCTTGTGTATCCCGAGATTCAAAAGGATACTAAACGTCTAGAACAGTATTATTCTGATTTACACGAACTATTCATGGTCAAGGTGAAGGATTATCAACATAGATCGGTGTAGATCATGAGAAGATGACTTAAAAGTAGGGCAAAAGGGCTCGTGAGGTCGCATCCCTCGAAGGCGCAATCCCGAGATAAAAATCGAGTGAGCGAGCATAAAAGCGGCATTAAATTCGAATTGCTCATATCCTGGTGCGCAAAACTTTAACACGAGGCGACCGCCTCTGTCGTCATCAAAAAAATGGAAAGATATCGTAAAGGTGCCGTACGACGCTCAGCTTCTTCGCGACGGCCAATATACACGATCGCGTATAAAACGTAAAGGATATATCATAATATGCGAGATGGATGTATGTTGAGTAAATACAAAAAAACAAATTTTGTTTTTTATTTATAATCTTTCACTGACAATATGATACTGTTTTGTAATGTAAAATGTCCTAAAAGATAATTTACGATACAGTAAAAATCAATAAAATAATAAATAATAATAATTAAAACAAACACGATTTCGCGTAAAATGTACAAATGTTTCACGATTTACTGGTCTAAATTTGCGTGATATTTTGCATCCATGTATGTGGCGGCTCACATCAGTTAATTAATAAACCGCCGCCGTTGCCGCAAGGCGTGTAAAACGTTCGCTAAAACAATATTTCGATATAAACTTTCCGAAACAAGTGTTTTTTCAAGTGTAACGTATTTCACATTTCAACACGAAAATAATTCACGAACAAATGTGCAAACAAAATATACGTGTCTGGACGTTTCGTTTTTTTTTGCAATGCGATTACATGAACTTATTTTACCTAATTATAAATTTACAAAGTTTATAAATAAAAAACAAATAGAAAAATTTATAGAAACAATATACATATATTTTGTATAAATTTTATTTGTATTATTTTAGTATATTGGTATAAAGATGAGAGTAATTATCTGTGCATGCACAATGTATTTTTTTTTTATTATTATATTTTTTATTATTATATTTTTATTATTATATTTTTTATTAGATTTAAGTACAATTTTGAAAACTTTTGCATATTTTTTTTGCAGGTATTGTTTTTTTTAAATTTCTGAAGTTTTCTATATTTTTTAGAGATTTTTCATATTTTAGATGTACCACGAAAATAGAAAATCTTTCGATCGTACATTTGATATGCGGAAAAGTGCGCGCAAACATACAAACTTCGCGACGAAAATTCGGTCGTTTGGTTATTTACTTGGCAGATCAACTCTCCCGTGACCTCACACTATTGTCTTATCTTATCAAATCATCTAATTCTTCTTTTATCGTTTTAAATATTAAATGGTACTTTCTGATGATTGTTGCTATATATTTTTAATTTAACGAACTGTAATTGTCTATATTTGCAAGAAGTATAATCTGATTTCTCGCAAATAACAGATAGATGTAATGTAAATACTGAAAATTAATACATCGCGTGAGATGAGTGTAATAAATTTTTACGAAAAAGATTGTCAGATTTGCAAAGTGGAACGATGTTAAAAAAAGCGTGAATGTCAGCGAGTAAATTTACGCGATAACAGATATGATTTCATTATCAACTTTGCGATTTTTGCACTTTTTGCGAACCAATTTCCACGGTGATAATAATAATTTACGGTGATAATAATAATTTATGGCGATAATAATATCTCGCGTCGTCGTAAATTTTCTGCAAGATACGTTTCGCGCGCGCACCCCATATAGCCTTGACTTCCTTAGATTCGTGAGAGAAACTGCACTTGATAAATCATACTTCAGTGTAAATGTTAATATTTCAATATATCGAGAAATAAACATACCTTAAATATCAAAATAAAAACTTAAAAGAACAAAAACCATATAGAAAATTCATAAATAAAAAAAAACAAAAAACATAAACTTTAATCAATTTTGAAATTTAATATTTAATTTAATTTTAACAGATTTTCTAATTAATTAAGAAAGATTTTATAGTAAAGCAAATAAAAGAGACAATATCGTCTAATAAATTTTAATATTGGTACATCAAATAACAGCAAAAGCATGATCTTTTATAGTATCTTATATAATATTGCGTGATATGTTTTCTTTTCGTTTTACTTAAATGTGATTATAAAATAGTAATCATATAATTATAAAATAGTAAGACAGCGGAAAAAAAAAAAAATCAGATGAAAAATACTAAAGTTTGACTATAATTATAATTGTATATACATGTGTATGTTAGAATTATATATATTTAAATCATGAACAAAAATATAATTATATTCATCAAATATTGCAGTTTGCTCTACACATTGCATATTCTGTCTTAGATTGCTTCAAATCAGCACCATTGAAAAATCGATGAATATCGAAAATCTGCACCTAATGAGCTTGCGAATTACTCACTTAATTAGCCTACTTAATTACAAACGCTATCAAACTCTGATCATGAATTCAAGTCATAAATTTGTTATCGAGATACACGAAATGTACGTAATCGCGAGATAAAATAAATTTTAGTTTTATATTGCTGCGACACAAAAATATATGTATTGATTATTTTAATTTTATACATTATTTATAAACAATATAACATCAAGTTGCAGTATTCAAATAAATGCATACTACAATCTCGAAATATTTAAAGCAATTGTTTTATTCATAATCAAAGTTGGCAGTATCGAAATCGCGATCTCGCGCATCGTGCTGCCAAATTCAGAGTGAAAGAGCGCAGTTATTCTCCAAACGCACGTAGAGTTTGTCGTAAGTTTTAATACTCTGATTTCAATTATAATTCACGTAATAACCACAATTCATGAATGATTTCGAATACAATGCGATTCGAACAATGTTAAGCGCTTTTATTTCATATGTACAAAACATAATATTATAATAATTCCGGAATGAAAATCCGACCGCGGTATCAAAATGCAAAGGTTAGTTTTTCGCGAGGGATATACAGATCTGCCCGTAATTTTGATAATGAATAATTAATGCGTTCGTTCAACGAAATTGCGTACTGTTTGCGATAGATGTTTGTTTTTATGATGTATCGATGTCGTCTTACAATAATGTCGAGTACTTTTATTTTGTACGTACAACCGTGTCTTTTAATATATTGAGACACTTGATATTCAAAATAGCTGTAATATAAGGCGATAAAAATGTTTTCAAAAACGAAAACGAAAACGACTTTGAATAGTAGTACTATAATTAATATTTTTTTCCGACATTTTTTGTTAAAAATTTAGATTTTGATTACTCTCGTGCTAAAGTTGTAACGGCGAGCGGCGGGCGTCTAGCAATCTAGTCGAAATATATTAACGTTGTGCGCAGTATCTCTACGTGCGTCGGTTTGAAATGCAGAGCGTGAACGTTCTGCAATTAATCACGTATTTAGTAATCCGCATCCACCATGTTAAAAGTACATAACCAATGCAAATTTTTGCCGGGAGTGCCGATCAAAGTGACGCGCGAGTGTCATAACGTATTATTTGCCGCGAGTGTTTTCAGTTAACAATGTTGGTTCAGTTCGAACAGTATCGATTCAAACTGGTTATGATAACAAATAACGAGTGCAAATTTTCGACATTTATCGATTCTTCGATGGCACTGATGTGAAATAATCTAAGACAAAATCTGCAACAGGTGGAATAAACTGAAATATTCTATCTGGTGAGTGCCTATTTTTTTAAATATATATATATATATATATATATATATAGTTGGGATACTATAAGCCATAATAATCAACATATATCTTTAATGTGTATTTGCATAACTCATAATAACTAAAATATATATTAATTTTTCCAGGCACAGCTAAAGAGGTTAGCTTGGGTACAACGACGGGTGAGTGAATTTATTATACTTATGTAATTATACAAATATTGATATTATCTACTATTTTCATTCGTCAATATTTATTACACAATTATGAAGAGCAATCAGTTTCGACAATCAGTGCCTTATCTTATTGTTAGCAATGGAAAACATTTTAATGAGAGAAAGTTTACATTTGACTACAAGCTATGTATACAATTTATTATTCTTAAATCATAAAATCATAGAACTATAGAAATATAAATTATATTAACTAAATATACATGTAACAAGAACATTTTATAGAGACACAAATTATGAAAAATTGAGTTTAGCAACTAAAATTTTGAAGACATAGATTTTAAGAATACAATGTTCATATAATGTTAATATATGGATTCTTGTTAAATGAGAGTCTTTTTTGTTAAAGTATGCTTTTGGATGCATACTTTTTGTTTTATCTTTTATTTACATTTTTGTACATACATTGGTGTGGCATTTTCGAAAGTGAAGTGTGCGGATTAAGTGACGTATTTTATCGACAAGGTAGGTAATTGCAAATTTTGTAACTTTGTGAGTTAAAATGTAGGTGGCATTTGACATCTGACTTGCTGGAGACGATCTATCTTCTATTTTGTCGGTGCCATGTAAGATGGCGCAATTGTTGTGAAACCTGAGTTTTCGCAGGAATTCTTCACTATACTTTTACATTCTCAGCGTTAACGATTGACAGAAGTGATATTACGATGAGCGAAACTGTCATGATAAAACGATTCAAGCATAAATGGATAAATAAAATGCATAAATACATGCAAAACCTAGAGTAAAATCAAAATATTAAATAGTGAAAATAAATGTGTAAAATACAATGGGAACTTTCTACGTTAAACAATATATTCAAATAACCTCTTAGTGATAAAATGTGATTACATTAGCACAATTATGATGTGTTGCGATAAGATACAAACAGTATAACAAGAAGCATCATCAACATTTTCATATAAAACCTGGGAAGATAGAATTATACGTACTATTAAATATATTAAGTATATTGAAAATACTGTGATATTTCACCGAAGTGTGTGGTCTTGCTTGCTTGGTAAACTTTATAAAAAAATCAAAGATTCGGAAAACTTCTCCTAAAACTCGTGATTCACAAAGACGACTAAACAACATCAAGTATCATGAAATATATTGTGAGTTGATAGAAGTATGTAGTTTTATAAAGACACTTTTAGTTTCTGGAGTTCAATAAGTCTCAAGAAATTACAAAATGGGATCTGAACAAAGCTCTCAAAGTGGTGGCCAAGGTGCCAATAGTGGCAGATCTAGGACGAATCAGCTTAGACGTGGCAAAAGTGTCCCAAGTCGTGAGAGAGTACCAGAGGATACCCCACCAAGATGCATCAGTCCTGGTGCTAGTATTTGTTCTGATTCAGATCTTCCGTATATCTCTTATACAGTGAATCGACCTATTGGAGATTCACCAAAGATGACAAACAAGCAGTCACAGCTCTACAGAGGAAAAACTATTGGAGCTGGGGAGATCTCGAGGCGAAAAAACAGCCTCGGTACAAATCATAGGTAAGTTTTATCGTGAAAATTGCATGTTAATTTCAAGAAATTTTTGAAAAATAGAAATATATAAGAAAACATGTTTCTAACTCCATATTTCGAATGTTAAATTTTGTACCAACATCTATTTATACATCAAAATGGGATATTTTTTAGTCAATAATTTGTGAAATTTGTATTTGCAAACTGTTTTTGTAAAATCATATACGCAATTTTAGTATCATAGTAATATTAAACAAATTTTCCAGAGTTTTCTATTCTTTTCACAAATAATATAATACGAGAAACAGTAAATATTTTTCATATTTTTATAAAATGAACAGAAAAAGTCATGTTTCTTTAGAATAGTTAATAATAAATTAATATATAGATAACATTCATATTTCACAAAAATGTTTTATAAAACTCAAACTTTCGGAATATCATATTTTGCATATATAATAATCCAATATATCATGATGAATTTTATCTGATCTCTTTCCATTTCTCCATCAGTCATAGAAAAATCAACACATCGGATAAGGTGCACAACATTGTGGTAGTAAAGGCGGCTCAAGCGGATCCAACAGCAGACAAAGATCCAGATCTGGTGAAGCTGCAAAGTATCCCGATGTTTCTGCCTATTATGCGCGGCACGCTGAATCTACCACCGGGTGTCCGCGATCCGGAGGTCCTCGAGAGACTTGACCCTATCGGCCTGTTCAACTTGTGTGCGCGTTATCAGCATCATTTGAACACTAACGCGCAGACAATAGCTGCGGAACAGGCTGCTATGTGCATTAATATGGAAACGGAATTCAGCAAGGTATTGAATTTTGCTATAGATCGGCAGAAGAGATTCACTAGATTTGCTGAGCAACTGAACAAAGTGCATGAGCTCAGCCGTCAGCTCACCAGGTGCCACTCGTTGCTCAATCAAACTCTCGAGAGTCTTGAGACTCTCAATAATCTATTGCCGGTGGAGGAAAGGCTCGAACCCTTTGTCTGGACCACGGGATAAGACAGGCCTGAATGTGAATCTTCTAACTTATATTTTTAGCAAGGAAAACCTCAACCGTAACTGTTTCATAAAGAATTTGTGATCAAAGAAAATGCGAAGAATGATCTTGAAACATTGTCAAGAAACTTCAACAAGCTTGTAATAAGCGTCATTATCAAGAGCTTTAACAACTTCTACATGCAGTGTGGACAAATTAAAAACCAAATAAAAAAGAAATAAATATATACTTCATTGAAACACAGTTTATTGTCTTGGTAAATTTTAAACATACCCTAAGAGCTTCTATTAATCAACCGCTGGGACTTCAGCTGCCTGTAGGCAGCAATAATCTCGCTCTGTTGTTTCTCCAACCTTCTCCTCTCCGCTGTAGGTAAATTTTTCCTCTTTCCAGATCGATCAATCACTTTAGGAGCAGAAGAAGTTTTGGAATCTTCTAGCAGTGAATTTAGCAGTAGGTTCTTCGGTTTTCTCTCTTGATTAAGGTTCTGTGATTTGATCTTTAGTCTAGGAGGTTCGTGGACTACTTCACCAAAGGCAACCTTATCTTGCAATCTTTTAAATTCGTCATCGTCCTCCAGCTTTTTTTCCTTCCGTAAACGCTCTTTCAGCTTTCGTTTCTCGCTCTTTGTCAAACGCGCGGAATCTTCAACCGTTTTCTTCCTCTTTTTGATGTTCTTATGCTTAGCTTGCAATGTTTCTATATCTATATCATCTTTCTCGCGTTTTCTTTTCGTTAAATTCTGAATTCGGCCCGTTTCAGGATTACGCTCAATATCAATTTTATATTTATTCTCGAACGCAGTGTCTTGAAGAAAAGCATTTGTATCTCTGGACACTCTGCGAAAGAATTGTTGACCAGATTCCCCTGGTTGTTGCTGAAACACCGGCACGACCTTTTCCGGCTTTGCTTTTGGGTGCAGATTTGGTTTGAGATGCTGTTGACCCACGCAGATGAGCGCGTTCCGTTTCCTCTTCCGTTTTCTCTTCAGGATGCCGCTGCTGGTCTTTGCGGCTTCCTTTAGTTTAATCACGTGCTCCAGGCTCTTCGGAATCGCCTGCTCGTCCGTGTCTTTTGGCGGCGCATTCGTGCGTGATTCTAACCTAAAATCCGCTGACGGCTCAGTATTATTATCTATACTTCATCACTTAACTTCGAACTTTACTGGTAACTCACTCCGCCAAGCGTTTGACACGCTGCTTCTCGGGGTCCTTAACACCTCGATGTTTCTTCGCCGGTATTTTGCGTCCCATACTCGCGTCTCGACGTCCTCTCGTTTCGCGGATATCGCTTGTTTCACGCTCGCACGTGCTTACACGCAATCAGCTGATCGTAACACTGTTTTCTAGAGATGAGAATATTCTTTTTCTAGGGACATAGAAACTAGAATTTCTAAAACACAAATTTTTTTCATAAGATATCAAATTATGTAATAAGATTATTTTTCTTTCTTGATTTTTGAAAAAAAAATCTGTTTTCTCGCTGTGAATAATGAATATACATATACATGTGATCAACATAAGCAATATGAATAAACTTGTATATTATTTGAGTTTAATCGCTCAATTTTTATTTACGTGATATTTTTAGACATTTATTTTACAATTTGAAGCATTATTTCGTGTTTATTTAATTTAACCGCTCGTATTTCGATTTCGATATGCGACAATAGATATTTATCGATTGCTACATTTCGATTCCATCGACAGACCAAGGCTAGCTTGAGTCAGCTGGCTTCTGGTTCTGTTGCTTGGCTAACCAATTTATTGCAAGATTTATTTTGCATCGACTGACAATGTCTACGGGCGAAGATAATGTCGAAATCAAAAAGGACGCGGAAGGCAAAAACAAAGATAAGGTCTATTGCACATTTTGTCCTTCAAAAATGCTCAATGCTGGAACTGCTAGATTAATAAACAAGGAGGTAAGTACTGTATTGTTAACGTAATAATTCCTTAATATATGGTTCTTTATTTGATTCTTTGCACAATATATTATTTTAATTTTTAGTATATATGCTGTATTATCAGTTAATAAGTATTTCCAGTACATTGTTGTATTTTAGATTGTTGATCATCCATAACCTAAGTATTCTATTGTTTACTGTGCTATATTTGACGCTCTATAAGTTTTTGTTTAGTGCAATTTGTAAAAAATTGCTATAAATTTATAGCTATAAATTGATCAATAATAATTGTACAGTAAATCATGTAAATAATTATAAAAGTAATGTAAAATTTTGGGTTGCAGTTTGCACTACCACATATACATATTAAAGGAGAAGGTGAAGCTAATCAGCAAGAAACTATTTCCGATTATTGGTTGGTGGAAGATATGTATACTTTTGAAAATATTGGTGTGTCGCATACAGTAGGTAATGTCAAATACCTAGCTTGCGCGGATTGCGAGAGAGGTCCAGTGGGATGGCATGATTTGTCTACAAAGAAGTCATATATTGCGCTATGTAGAGTGAAACATGAATGAATTAGAGATAAGCTTATTAATTAAATAATTTTATAATTTTATATGACATGTAATAATTTTATAAGCATATGTACAGAGATAATGTTATACAGATATAAAATAATATTTATGATGCTATGCAAATTTGTGTTTTATATGTTATAAAAGTCCCAAGTTTATGTTAAGATCAATCAACATTTTTTTTCGCACATTTGCAAAATAATTTCTGTACTTCAAAAAAGGTGCTGATTTATCACGTGTAAATAATGATTCACAGTGAAGAAAAGCTGCCGTTTTAGTTGACAATTTAATATTTAATCACAATATATGTTACAAACACAGCCAATAAATCAGATAACCGTCGATACGATGTAACGATTAATAAATTTCTCGCTTACAATTAAAAATTATACTGTACTTAATGTGTGTATGCATTTGTGTGAATCAATTATACCATTACATATCGCAAGTTTCATATCCCGTTTCGAGTATCACAAACGGGCTACACGTCGTATGTATTAATACAATTCGTAATATAAATCGTACGTGAGGTGTTTTATACGCGCGTGAATAATACTTATACATATATACTTCTCGATGCGTATATATGCATTTTTCATGTTTATAATGTATATGTTATCTATTTTGCAAAGCCGTTTTCGCGATTTGGGGAGAGCTCAATTAACCATTATTCGTTTACTTACATTTCTGTGTTCTTTTTTACCTCCTTTTTTTTTTTAAATCTATTTTAAATATTGCAAAAATAGTCACGCGTTCGTGCGAGCCGTGCCGCGTCGGCATCTAATAACATCACAGCTTTATCTCTTCTTAAAACGCGCATCATTAAAGCAAAACGCATTATCCTTTTACTCGACGATGCGGACGCATATATTACATATTGTGAATCGCTAATTAATGAGAGGACAATCTTAATTACGATAGTTTTACACAAATCATCACTTTGCATTACTCGTGACAGTAAGATTGAATGAAACGATAGAAACATTAATCATAAGAATTATAAAGAATTATAAAGAATTATGTGAATTTGCAGAATATTTTGGAGACAAAGTCGTCTTCGGATACATTCTTACATATAAATGAATAAATAAATTATAACTAACAAATAATTATATACTGCGAGATGCTCGAACAATTATACATGATATATTTCCCTACTTGCATAACGTTCAAATCTTGAATCTAGCACATAAGGATATTACAATGTTCATCTAAATACGATTTCCTCGTTTCCTGCATATCATCACCATCACCGTCATCGCGCCGATTTATTTCGTTCAATAATATACTATGCACATATTTATAAACGTGTACGCATATGCAGGAGATCCTAAAAACGCGTATACCAATTGTAAAGTTCTATCTTTATAAGAGCGTGGATTAAAAATTTTATCGAAGATATTAAAATAAATTTCTTTTAACGAAACAGTGCAGAAAGACATTAAAATAAAAATTAAATTTCTGATGTTTAATCTCACAGAACGAGTTACTGTGAATTTTTTGCGACTTATCCGCCAGAGTAGAACTCTATAAAGTGATATACGTGATCGTCCATTTATACATACAATAAATGTGCAGTAGGCAATACTTTTTCGCGACCGCATGATATCGGATGGTAGGATTCGACCGTCATAATAATCGTGTGTATATTTTTCAGAAAGTTTTTCAATGTTTTAATATCACATGAAATATCTTATGTTTATTATGTTTTTCGTAATTACGTAAAACCTGATTTATATATATATTTTTTTTTTCGTTTGTCGTTTCGGATATGCACGCGATTGTACACGAGCCTATGATATCGTAAGCATTTTCCTTACTTCGTACGTATCACAATGCAATATAATATATAAAAGATTTATAATAGAGACCGTTGTCAATTCGAAAGCCCGAAATCCATTTATCATGCGGTACATATACCTATGTATACGCGTGCAACGCGGAATCCTTTTTTTTTCCCACGTCGCTTTAGGTGCAGTGAAAAGGTACAAAAATAACAAAAATAGAGTCAGATAGATTGGAGAAATACATTCTCGCATACATACAGGCACACTCACTCTCGCATACACTTTATATATGTAACTAAAAATATACAGATATGGAGTGTCTTTTTTCTATGTAAATGGCACTCGATATATATGTATATGTTTAGTTAATTCCTTCTATCTTCTTGGTGTAGCGTAGTTTACGTTACGTGCTGATACAGAACGATTATGTGGCACCGGAAATAGGTGTTTTTTTTTTTAGTATCCATGCAAATTTCCTCGCTCTTTTCATTTCCTGTTAAATGTATTATTTTAAATGGCCATCATGCTCGATTGCGTGCCCATGCCAGGACATTCTCTGTACTTGTACATTTTCTTTCTTCTTTCCCTACTTATCTTATATATTTTCGGCGTAAGTTTGTTTTGAAAGCCACAAGAGAGATACATAACGTTCTACTAAAAAAGCCTTTTTAATCTTAGATGCTTATATTCTTAAATTTTAATTCTTACGTTAAATTTAACTCTTTAATATTTAATTCTTAAGTTAAATTACGCTTTTTTTCGCACATGCGCGATAAGGAATGCTCTGGCAAGGGAAAGAAAATTACCAGTAAAGTAAATTACAGTAAATGTTCTAAGAGACTTAAATAGGTGATACTTAAGTAGGAAATTGACAAGTTTTAGCAAGCACTGCGTAAAGCTGGCTGTATCACTTCGCAATTTATCACGATCCCCAGAATACTCTGGCATTATTTAATGATTTATAATGTATATTGTTTTATTTTATATTTTTCAACTTTGACCAATTCCTTTTCATGGTGTGTTTTGCGTCTATTTTATTTTATTTTTTACCGATAGTTAAAATATCATAAACACGAGATTTTCACACATAGACAGTGTTACGTTGGTGTTTCAGCGAATTGTTCATTTTCCTCCTTCCTTCCTCCAACAGAATAGTAATGTTTATGCAAAACTTTTTAAAGTAAAGCGTGAAATAGTATCGTTCACAAATGTCTGTACACGATAAAGGGCGATTCCGCAGTATTCTACTATTAGCCTATATTTAAATAGTGTTCCGAAATATTTCTGGTCAGTACACTCTTTACATTTATCTTTCATGCCACGACGGTGATAGTAACGTTCGTCAACTAATATGCGATATACACATGAGAATAAATCAACAGAAGTGAAAATAAAGAAAAGGACATTTAATAATTGTAAAGTATAATTTCCCGAATCTCGGAATATTTGTACAATTCGACGAAATAAATTTTTATTAATTATTTTTAACTCATTTCTTTTTGCAGATTTCGTTCACACTGTCAGAGAGGAATGGACTTCTCGCTCAATGGAGGCCTTTACATTCAACGATTAAATGGTAAGTAACATTTAATGCGCCCGCGCGTACTTAAGTATTTTATAACAAGGATTCGGTAAACGAGACTCTTGCGTACGAATACAAATGATGCGTGTCGCGCGGGATATGTCTAAAGAAAAAGTGTGCTGCTAACGATACGACGGTAAAGTAGCCGTAGAACTACTTTTGTCTTGGTCCGTGGAGCATTAAACGTTAACAATATTAATTAATTCGCTCATTAGCATTCCTATCATCTAATGGTTCGTATCCATTCATTGGCGTGAGGTGTACAAAAGATAGCGGTAAATTCAACAGTTTGTTGTTCTTGTTTCGCATTTCGCTGCCAGGCTCGAGATGCAAATTTCTTTGAAAAATATTTTTGAAAACCACAAATTATTCAACAGATAATAAAAATGACAGCATGTTTGTCATTTCATTTTCAATATTGTTTAGAAAATAATGCAAATATCTGTATTTATAGAAAATATTATTACTGCTAAACATTTATAAACTCTACGTTTCTAAAGACCTTAAATTTGCAAGCCTAGCCACAACGAACGCAAATCACGAACTCTCATCCGATCATTTTATTTTATCGGTTAAAAGTAAGCTTCGATTTTAAATAGCGCAATTTTTCCTCAACACTCGGCTCTACGCAATATTCGTTGTGTCGATTGCACATACAGATTTTTCGAGTATCATCCACATAAAGGATCGATGAGGTAGCGGTGCGGTAAAAAATCGAATGCGATCGAGAGAAGTGTTATTTTTTTTTTTTTTCTGTATCACGTTTCCCGCGGGCTTCCACAAAGCCAATAAAGAGTTTAACGATAAATGAATGGCGGAGAGAATTATAAAGGTACTGTGCATTTTCGTGTAATTCTAGAGAGAGAGCAAGAAATACACAAGTGCATCGATAGATGCCGTAATCTTCCCGTATGTTACCGTAGAAATACTCGTATTGAACTACGTGGTCAACTTATAGCGTATACAGATGCGTCTAGATCAAGATTTCGCATCTTAAAACGCCACATTATTCGCGAATATATTTTTTGCACGACACTAGCGAAGCGCAAGCACTGCATAGCGATGATACTAATTCTTTTTTTTTTCTTCTGAAAATCCGGACCTTCCCGGATGAAATCTCGAAGCTTGCCGCGTTAATACACGCACACGTCTCGACACATTTGTCAATTACGGATCTATACCGCCCTTCTCGTCCTTCGGCGTAATCATAATTTACAGTTCTACGATAAACGTCGATTACGCAAACGCATCATGTGCCTTTTGAGCTTCTGCAAGAAGTGCCACGGACGTTTGTAAGATTGGCTCTGGAAAATCTTCCGCTGCACAATTCCCTTTCGAGTAACGACGAATGCGACCGTAAAAAATGCCGTTTGATCTTTTTTTTTTTCAACAGTTCCGTAATTTCTCTAGGAAATACAGAGTAAAAGTGAGACTAAATTTATAATTCATAAAACCTGCTTTATAAACACGAAATTAAGCTCTATTCTTACTTTGAACTCGTTTAAGCGAATGCTACTCGATGTGATTGCTTCCTGAAGTGTCAGCGTTCACAGTACATTCTTGCGAAAAAGTATTCTCGAAGTGCTGTCGTTGCTACTCACAAGGTGGATTGGCGGCGGAAAGTATCTTTCCGTCGAGGGCCATCTCGATGAAGATATTTCGCATCTAGAAACTTTCCCGCGATTACGTATCGTGTCGTTATTATAAATAGAATATTTTACGTATAACGTACGTCCGCGCACGGCCGTATATTCAACGCGCAATTACGTTCTCCAGAATGTACATCTTACTTTTTATGGACCACCCTGCTCTCCTCAGCCAAAGTGCGCATACGTTACAGCTCTCTCGATATCACACACAAGCGACAAGGATTTTCTTTCCGATTTACTTGCATGGCAGTGTTTCGAATTGTGAAATTCCAATAGGCGCGAATCTGTTGACGAAACCAGCTATTACAGGTTCACAGCGCTGCGGCGTAGCGGCTTATAGCAAAGATATTTGAGATCCTTTTGTAGAGAGATTCAAGAATTATACGATGAGATATTTGAACGGATGCACATTAGCCGCGGATCTGGGAGCAGGGCTTTTCTTTTCGAATGTGGACGAAATAGATCTATATAAAAAGTGGTCTATCGCCTAGATGTATGTTTTCTTCTTTTTTTTATTACGCATATAATTTGCAGCTGTGTATGATAAACGATCTATTCTAAGACACAGTGTTTCCAAACCCTTCGAAAGCTGCTCGAACCATTTAAACTATGATATGAATTTCATGTGCAAAATATGTAATTCTTTCATAATTTAAGTATGAAAGGTATTTTGTAATTCATAGTAATTATAAATGTTTGTGAAGATTTTAATTAAGAAAAATATAAAATAAACACTAAGTGTTAATAATAATATACTGTAACATAGCACAGAATAAATAATTTTTGACGGATTTAGAAACACTGTGCGACGTGGACAAATTTGGAGGAATTGTAGTGACGATCAGAAAAAGCTTCATCTTTTTGATGTAACAGATGGATAATTGGCCTTAATTTCTATTATTGCCGAATGCGAGAAATTTCCATAATTAAAAAAATTTATTTTTTAATATACATCTGTTGGAATTTCATGCACCATTGAGATTAACTAGTAAATTTGATGCCTTGTCTTTTCATCAAAGTCGCTTGTTTCAAACTGCACTATAATTCTCTCTCTCTCTCTCTTTTTCGTTCTGTCCCGAAGTTTGTTCCCGTCGCAATGCAACACCTTGTTACCATTGCATCTCGTTAAATCTTGCTCTTGCACACATGACACGAGACGCAAACATGTTATTATCTCTCTTCTCTGTTCGATTTCAGAGCATCGTAGAAAACAAAGCGACACTTCCCCATTCATTTTGAAAAACTCACGCGTTAAAGACGCGTTTTGTTTTTTGCCTGTTTCATTTTACACTTGACGAGCGCTTACATTATTACGTGCGTTCTACATTTTGCTAGAATTGCGGGAGCCTCCTGAAAGAACTGCGACATTCGTATATGCGTATGAAGGTATTCGTTATTTTATATTCTTCTTCTATTTTAAGTGCACACTTTGCGCAATCGAAATATGATTTATTTTAACGACGAGAGTTTTGTAAAATACCCGTTGAATAATTGGATGAGTTTTTGAGGAGATTGCATGATAAAAATTTCAAGAGACGGCTCTTATCTTTAGATGGCTTTCAACTTCATCGAGAAATTCTTTCCTTAACCGTCAAATGCATCATCCTTTTTCTCCATTTTTACATTAATTCTTCCCAAAAATTATTGATAATTTTCCACCTCTCGGCGTATCCATCACTTGATTTTTAAAGTAGGTCGTAGGAAAATATAAGGTTTGTCTTTGAGGCTGTTCTAATAAAACTGCAAATTATTTTGCGGAAATACATAAGCGATTTTCATCATTTATTAAAAGGCTGTAACATCGACTTCAGTTACTTTACTTTACTCTTGTCATCCAAGTTCGTAACAACGCGCTTAAGTTAACTATTTAAATTATTCATTACAAAATTAGAATGTTGCGACAATATTCTTTCCTCGTAAAAATCGATAACAGGACAAACGTTGCCGAACAGCTAGCGAATGCATTTAAGGGTTAAGCGGTGTTTCGAAGGAAATTTTTAATCGGTCGACTTTTTCGCCGACGACGACGACGACGACGACCTCAATCGCTTCATCGTGTAATCTTCCAGAAAACAATCCTGCTCTACTCGTTTGCAAAATGTGTGGTAGAAGAGTTTGCAGTTAGAGAAAGATACGTACGTTTATCAGTGAGTCTTTTTGGCAGTCAGTTTGTCAGACGAGATCTGTATTTAATGAGTATTTATCTCGATTTCTCGGGCTCCGGTTAGCAATAACTGCAATTACCCCAAACGCTCCCTTTAAATCATAATTCTGGTTCTAACATAAATACAGAGAGGAGATATAAGATTTTTTTTTATTGCGAAAGTAAGATGAATGAGAACGTAAAATTTTACGTTCAGAAACCGAGTATCTCCAAATGTTTCGAGTTTTTTTTTTTTATTGAACGAACTAGAATCAGTGCTAACCGTCGTCGGAAGTATCGATACATGTCTTTTGAATCTGAGCGCGCATTCATCGTCCGTATGTACGCGTATGTATTTGCGTGCGTGCGTGCGTGCGCTTGTGTCTATGTGTGAGAAAAGAAATCATTTACACGCATCCCGCAACGACGACCGCGGCGCGGTCGTGTGGCTTTACAATTATACGTTATATCTATCGGATGTATCGCATAACCGGTCACGATTATTGAGATACACCCGCACGGTACAGTACGTTCGGCTCGCGTTTTCTTGGTCTGCTGGTTTCTTTTTTTTTTTTTTTTTTCTTTTCTCTTTCGCTTTAGTATTGCTGAACAATAATTGTAAGATCGGCACGAAGCGCGGTGCGCGCCTGAAGGTGTTCCCGACTCCGCGTTTCTCCTATAAGATCTCTAATGTTATAATAACTTGTAATAGTAGTAGCGCCGTAATAGTATATATATATACGATAGTAGAGTAGCAACCATAACAGTATAATAATTATAATATTAGTTGCAGTAATAATAAAAATAGTAGTAGTAGTAGTAGTAGTAGTAGTGGTAGCAGCAGTGTAACATAGCGATGTTGCACCTAAAATAGTACGCAGGCTACACGTAGAGATTTCGAATTAGCCGACACCGCTCGACGTCGTGTGTCGTGGAGATAGGCGTGTGATCGGCGTGTTCCGAGAAGAAAGCACGATATATGTCGCGCATTGTTACTTTCAGTAATGTCGAAGTGGACAGTTCTCTTCTTTTCTCTCTCTCTCTCTCTCTCTCTCTCTCTCTCTCTCTCTCTCTTTTTCCCTCTTTCGCACGTCGCGCGTAAGACACTGACCACGAATCGCTTTCCTCTTCCTCGGCGTTTGCCCATACGCGTCTTTTCTATTTTTAAAGTGAGCAAGGGTGTCCGCAGCACTTTACGTTCCACCAACTTGTTATTGCGCTGACGGCGGCAATTTTTCTTCGCTTCGGCGTACAACGTCGTGATAAATCGCCGTGTGTAGACGGGCGCTGAGGAATAGACTCTTCGCCCCCTCCCCCCCCCGGCTCGGCTTTCCGTTCTATTCGATACGAATACGGAGATACCTGACGCGACAAAACGAGCCGTTTACCCGCCCGACGATGCGTCATAGCGAAAGCGCTAGTTATGAACTATCTGGCTCGATCATCTCGAAACACTTGTCCGCCGTCCTCAATATTCGCCGCCGATGCATGAACAGGCCACATTACGCGAAACACTCTACAATGATTGCTTTCCCTCCCTTTATCTCGCGACACGAATCGTTTTTTTACGTTCCATTTCCAGTTGCACAAACGACGCGTAACGTAACGTTTTCACATGCTGCGACACGTCCAGCGGGCGACGTGTCGAATCAAACGACGAACGAAGGATCGATGGAACTGCGAATCATGAATCAGCGACGTCCGCGGACGACATTTTTCTGATTAACCGTGCTACGTAGTAGTGAGGTATAACGTCTTACATTAGTACGTTTGATCGTCATCGACTAAGCTAAGCATTTTCATTGCTTGGCCGAAGCGTTCTCGTCGGTGACGCCCTATCTACCTAAGATATAAGAAAGGGAAAAGAAACGGAGATAAGTATATATATATATATATATATATATATAT